AACAACAACAACAACAACAACAACAACAACAACAACAACAACAACAAAAAATGTGATTCGATGTTTTGCATGTAGAACCCACGTCGACGTCAGAATCAAGAAAATTGTTACTTACGCCCGGAACTTTTTTAGGTTTTTATGCATGAAACAAACCGTTGTTTCAACTAGTGATGAAAAGAAACACTAGAATAGATGAGCATATGAACAGCAACAATTTGTGTATTGTGATTTTTCTATTTCGTGATTCCCTTGATTTTCATTTGCAGGTAAACGAATGGAAATTGCCGAGCAAAAGCTTGATTTGTCTGTGACATTTTGCGTGATAATTTCTTTTCTGAATCGGAATGAATATAGAATATACCGCGCGGGAAAATATATTCGTTTATTTTTCGCATGTGACTAGAAAAATATGGGTATTTCCTAGTTACGGATGGCAGTGGTGGTGCGATATAAATATGCTATAGTGGTGGTATTAAATTTTGTTTTCGTGTACGGCTCACTTTAAATCGTGTGTTTGTTCGTTGTGATTTAACATTATTATCGAATTTGATTTCGCTTGCTTTTTTTCGCCAAGCTTTCGTATGAGACATTCCGAATAGGATACAAAATTGAAAATAAAAACGCACCCACACACATACACATAACACATCGGTCAATAAGTCCCGAGCCTAACCACCAAGTGGCAACACTAATGTCAAACCCATATCATTTTCGAAAACTACAACCTTTTTTAGGAATCCAGTCAAAATTTGAGCCAAATCCGACCATCAGTTCGCTAATTACAGCACTTTAAATGAAGCAATTTTCCAATTTTCCAAAATCATGGAAAAACTGCATTTCTCCTCTCGATTTGACACATGTATTCCAGAAGAAAAACGAGCAGGAGTACCAAACCCATACTATGATTAGTTTATGGCATCCTTAGGCTTTCGAAATCAATCATTAGATATGGAAGAATTGAATTTATGCATAGCCATAAGAGCGATTTTGTCGATAAGCCTCCAAATTGTTCAAAATATGTGGTTTTGGAAGAAATCATTGCCAAAATCCGTTAAGTGATATCGGAATTCTCAAATGTGATAGTTCATAGATTTGCTAAGGCCATAGGGCAACTAACTCAAGCTATAGTTACAACTTTGCATGGATATATGCATATGAAATACTCAATCGAAAAAGCCTTGCCGCGTTTTTGGATATGGAGTAGATAGAACAGTTTTTTGGGGATTCGAAGCCCGTTTGGAGCTGTATAAGTAAAATTTGAATAGGGTTTTGCCTTTATATATTAGAATTAATGTATTTTGAGTTCATTTGAATAGATTCGATCTATAAATTGCGGGTAGAAATCGCCAAAAACGGTTTGTAGCGACCAAGGTCGCAAAATATGAGTTCGGGCATTATTAGTGGATTTAGGTATAGAAAAATATTCGCGAACCAGTGGGAAAGATATAAAACAACATGAAAAGTCACTTATGCATCATTTTAGACCTATCCGAATGTCAAATCTTGATAAAACATAGCAAATTTGGCGAAGAAAACTATGTTGTTCAAATGCGAGTTTCATCCAGGTCAAAGAACTGTTTATATGGTGATATAATTGAACGAAATTGGTTTCAAACTGCTTCACTAACCATTGTATTTTTTAGGTCTGGTCATTCTCTGAACTCTCCACATGAATATACTTGAATACAATGCATCAGAAGAAAGTTATACCGTTTTAACGGCAAAATTGAAGCATTTTCGGGAGTCTTTCTCTCGTATAGCTGTAACTAGCAAACTGATGGTCGGATTTGGCTCAAATTTTGACTGGATTCCTAAAAAAGGTTGTAGTTTTCGAAAATGATATGGGTTTGACATTAGTGTTGCCACTTGGTGGTTAGGCTCGGGACTTATTGACCGATGTGTTATATTGCTTATACTTTATTTAGACCAAAGTGTACAATAAAAAACGAAGACATTCACTAAGGTGAAAAGATTTTAATAATACACAACGATACGTCTGCAATGGATCCGTTTTTATTTTCGAAACATACTCGATTGCTGTTGAACAAATACTTCAAAAGCCAAGCTGTTGCCAGTTTTCTCTCTCCCGTCTGTATGACGCTTTGAAGCGTATCTACGCTTCAAACGCATTTCATATTTATCCGCTCTCTATTTGTGCCATTAAGCTCGCTTTTTCCGCAGCGATTCTTTTCTTTCCACCTTCTCACCCCAAAGCGAAAGAGAGATGCCCAATGTGGACAAATCCTATAATTCACTACATTTTTTTTGTTCACCATCGATTTCGGCTTTTTTTTTCTCGTGATATGATCCAAATGAATTGAATCAAAACACCAACCAGAAATGCAAGACAGAGTAAGTATGTTTCGATCGCAGAATCCGAATTGAAACCGGATTAAACTCATCGGGTGGAAGCTAAGACTTGAATGACAACTGTAGCGACGCGAGCGCCCTCAATTTCAATAGGAAAATCAATGTAATTTCGTAATTTTTTTCTGAACTAAACAGCGCGCCAATTTGAATTTCGTTGATGCTTCCACCCTATGATTAAACTCCGTGTTCGTGGTGTGTGTCTGAAATCCAGTGTGGCATGCTGTGGATATTTTTTTCTCACTTGACGATATTCATGATTCGATATCTGCAAATTTATATTGATTTTGTTTCGTATATAAATTAGTGCCTCATGTGGCTCCTGTAGCTGCTATTTACGGTTTGTGGTATACGTGAGAATCTCTTAAGGCTTTTAGCCATCATCAGACGATGGCATGCAACGAATTCAAAATGAGAGCAAACAATTTCGAAACCAAAAACATCGACATAGAAGTAAGACGTCTTAATTTTTAATTTTTCAGTTTAATCCATAAAATAACTTATGTCGGTTAACAAATCATGTTTACTCTCTCTCTCTCTCTCTCTCTCTCTCTCTCTCTCTCACGCACACACTACAAATTGATTAATTTACTTCACTAATGGCGCAAAATCAGAAAACATGCAAAATCATATTTCAATTAAGTTGTACTCGCACTTGAAACTTTTTAGTCCACGAGATGCTTCATGCAAAACATAAGTTCATACATACACGCACACATTTGGTGGATATGTGAACGGTAAAGTTTCTTCATTGTTTCTAAATAATTTCCATTCATTTTTATCTGTGGAAAATTGTTACGAGTAAGACATATACTGTGTATATGATGTATCCACTTGAATTTGGTATGCATTTCTTTGGGATGAGAAAAGGACGAGCAAGAAAAATTGAAATATGATGGTTCGAACAATGAAATTGAGAGACTGGATCGGGTTTTCGGGCATGAATGAAGAATGGTTTAATTTGGTCGGTTTTTTGATGGTGAAAAGTTTTTTCGTTTCTTTTTTTTTAGGTGGATACAACGCTGAAAATCAACATTGAATCCAATCACTCATTTTGGGTAAAAGCGGGATGAACATAAAATTCAATTTAAATCCGTAGAAATGAGAACCACACAAAATTGATTTGAAATGTGGTTTCATCTAAACAAATTGACCAAATGTGAGTGGGTTAACATTCATTTTCAAATACTATCAAAATTAATCATCACACACTCGACTGTCCCGAAGCCATATGCAAACAAACACACTTAAAACTAAATAAATGCGCTAGATGATTTGGCATTTCCAGTGGCAAACGAGTGTATATGGTATGTGATATCGCATGGTGTTGACTTTAAGTGTGTCACCATCCTCAAATATTCACATAAAATGATGACAGCTATATTAATTTATTGCGTAATTTCGATGCATCATTAAGCAAGTTGATTGATTTGGATGGGACGGAAAAAAGCGAGAAAAAAAGTCGACGAACGATTCATACACGGAGTGTGTATTTGAATCATAATAATAATTGATCCGGAATAAACATTGTGAATATGGTGGCTGCCACCTGTGTGCGGTCAATATTACAGTACATATCGTGCCAAGTGCTCTTGCTCGCTCGCTCACTCCCACACTACTATTATCACAATAAACACTGAAAACAAAGAATGTAAATATGCTTTGATGTGGCTGAAAATATTTGTGCTTACTTCGTTCAATTTTTGACATGCTGATAGTGCTGGTTTTTCGCCATTGACGACACCATCCACGGGACGTAATCAATTTTAGAAGGCTCCCATTGCTCGTTGATACCTCACTGCCACGCTCTATCTCGGACGACCGGCACGATGAGGAATCCTCAAAACTTGATCCGCGCCGTTGACGCTGAAAGCATGCACAATTCCGTAGCATGGTTGTATCGGGTTGTTTTGATTCGATTTTCGGTGTCAATCGGCGGAGAAAACAGAATACCCAAAAACTCTCTCCTTGTTTCTTTATCTCGTGTATGTTTTGTTCTCCGATTTTTCTTCGTTCTCTCGCTTCTGCTGTGATTCGTCCGTAATTTGATTTATGCTTTGAATCTCTTTTTAAAAGTCGCTGTATTTGCGTTTTTATGAACGAAAGGAGAATGACGAAAAACAAGAAGATTCAGTAGTTTAGGGCTCGCGAATGATGAAGCAAACCGTCACCACACGCCTGACAATTGCTGAATAAAACACGCCCGATTCTCTTGCGCTCACAAATTTCACATCTTTATTTTTCGTTTTGTTGTTTTTTCTTCTTAATATTTGGATTTCATCATTACAATTTGTTATTTTCACCCCTTTATCTGTCTAACTGCGTTAAGAAATTTCACACATTCACTAAAATGAAAGAGAAAAAAGAAAGGGAAAAAAGTCAGCAAAGAATTATATTAACTTTGAGCAATTGACATCGAAATTTGATTTCCATCTGTATTGTGTCTTATTTTTGTGTTTTCCGCTTCATTTGCTCCTTTGACAGCCGTATTTTCATTCAAACATAATGATTTTGTGTGTTTATATCGCTAGAAAAACAGCATATTTTCAACAATGTTTCTCTCTGCGTCGAAAATTCCCACGGTAAATAGCAAACGTGGATAAGGTTCATGGGAATCGTAATGGTATGGGACGGTGGAGGAAACAAAATATGTGTTAGCCATTTTTGATTGTAATCTTGATGCCATGAGCTTTTAGTTTCATCTTCAATGCACCGCGTTTTTACGATCGGCTCAACATTGACAGCATATATTCAATTGTCTTGTTATGCGTAAGCTATTTTTTGTGTGCGCTTTTCTCTCTCTCTCTCTCTCTCTTTTATACACATTTAATAACTTATGTTTGTAGAGATTTTATTTTTTTTTATCAAGATGGCAAGAGCGCAGAAAATTCAATTTTCACAGGTCAAAAAATGCCACACACATACACATGACAAACAGACAACCTTTTTTTCACTTCATTCGATCATTCGAGACTTATTCGTTATGAATGAGAATTAGTCTGTTGCCGAATTATTCACAATATTTGGTTATCTGCCCCATTTTGCCATATAGCTTGATTGTATCGAACAACCTGTAGTAGAGAATATTACTTTTTTGGACGGTGAGCCCAAAAAATCTAAATCATTCTCGTGACTCTTTCCATGCAAAGAAGATGATGATAGTAAATTTGGAAATCTTTTGATAGCGCTTTCCATTCACAATGACTAGACACAGCATATTGATTTTTTTTTCTCGCCGCAGATACACACATACACACACAGTCATGTTTCGATTCACACACTCATGCTCAAACCACTTGGCCCGTAATTTGCTTAATTTATCCAGTAAGCCAGTGAAATTTTGTAAATTTACAATAGACATAATATGCTTGCATTGATTATTCAAACAGAGCGTTCATTATTTAGGATAACAAGAGAGGCACATCGAAAAAAAGTTCACTTTTCTCGGCTCGCTCTTCGAAGTGAAACAATGGCGTTTCACTTAGGTGGAAACATTTTTCGTTCGGATTACAAACGATGAAGACCTTGAACAAAAACCTGATTAGCTGTGGAAAACTTTGTCATTAATTACCTAAACAGAGTGAGAAAGAGACAGAGAGAGCGAGAGAGATCATGTTTATTTTATTTTCTACATATCTCTTGCCTAATGTACATACATATCTTTCGAACGTGCTGATATGATGTAAAGATTCATGATGGAATATTTTTTTCCTATCTATTGACTCGCTCACGCGCCGCACGTATTGCGATTTATGTATATCGTCTCTCCGATGTCTGAACGATGGATGTGACGAAGCATTCGTCTAAGGGTTAAACAGAATACAAACGCGCGATCACGTCAACGTCAAATGGAGCACTAATTTCAGTAGAAATTTTAACTTTTGTATACGTGGTTATAATGATGAATTGGTTCATCTAATAGATAATACATGGTACGAGCGAAATTTTAACCCACTTTGCGCTTTTCAAATATTTGGCCATTGCCAAGATAATTCTAATCTCCTGGCTTATTCGTTGTATGTGTGTTCCCATATACATATATTGGCAAATGGATAAATTATATGTGTTTCGAACACTCACACACTCATACACCACATACAGCCTTTGTATCGTTCCCAAATTGGATTTTTCTTGGCCGTCTGATACGATCAGTGTTAGAGCATATAACAACAACAAAATTTGTCACAACACGCAAACAAAAACCATTGGATAATATGGAAAAAGCACTTTTATGTCATTCCGTGAACTTTTTGGACCTTTTGCTACTGTTGCTGCTGCTATGATTGGTGGTGGTGTTCATTGCTTCGACAAGGTTTTACTGCAGTTTTCACATAACAAAATTCTCGTCGTCACACGAACACTTCCTTCAGAACACACAAACTGATAAAAAAAAGTAATTTGGCTAATAGCAAGCTTTCACTTTTCTCTCACTGTGTTTTTTTCCCTTCACTCGCTGTGTGTATGCCAACAAAAAAAGTGCACTTTAGAAAGCAGACAAAGGCAACGGCAATGGCAATATAAGGAGGGAGACACACACAAATTAATTTTGGACGCGGCAATTTTATTCGCATTTGCCAAAAACTCACTTTGCTTTGAGGATAATCACAAGAAATCTGCAAATAAATCATTCTAAAAATTTTCAAACGTCTCTTTGATACAAGATCAGGATGGCAAAAAGAGCGAGGGAGAGAGAAAGAGAGCTGGCATTTATTTTGGCGATGGCAAATTTTCATCAAAATTACGTTCGGCCGACATCGATATTTTTATTACGATGTAATCATTTCAACCTGAATCCGTGTGCTTTGTGTCTATTTGGAATAATGAGCGGCGAGTGAGTGAAAAACTCTTTCGACGATTGACGATAATTACCATGATTTTGAGGCCAGCCGAAAATGTCTTTACTTCTGACTATATACATGCGTCTGTTAGCTCGGCATGGGGTAACAATTTCATATAGTGACTAATTAATCATTTTCCCTTTGGCCGTCGACGTGAAAGAAAAACATTTGGCATCAAAAATGAGCATCCATTCGTGCTATCGAATATTTCTTAAGTAAACTATATCGATTATAACGAGTCGTAATATTTTGCCATCACGTGAAGACGAGAAAATTTTGTTTTTTCGGATCAGATGGTTGAGCAAGCCCTCCCCAGAGCATATCCAAAAAAGCAATTAACGATAAATTCTTGTACAAAGTCAAGTTTTCGTTTGGAATTTATATATGTTCGAGCCTGAGTTATGACTGACGCAATAAGAAAAAGCAGTATAGCTTTATCAATTTTCCTTCATATGATTGAACAATTTGAGAGAGTCTCAGCCGGGGAATTTTTTGTTTCTGTATCATCATTTACTTTCACTGTGTACGGTTTCAATTAAAAAAAAATCGGTTGGTTTCTTTTCACAAAGTATCAACTGAAAGTATTCACAAAGTTTGATGCGCTTTGCGAATTCCGTTGCACAATGTGAAATTTAAATGAAACTCTCTGGAAAATCTGTACATTATTCACAAAGATAAGTGAAATTCCATATCTGTGTGAAAGAACAAAAAGAACCGTACACTTGGGTTTTAAAAAGCAAAGCATTGCCGTATAAACTGGCCCCGTCTGATCCATTTGATGAATGAAATCGCATCTTTGCTAAAAGCAGGATAAATTTAATCACGTCACTACAATTTCTTTTATTATATCTGTGAGATAAAAGTAGTGGTGCCATCATTTATTGTAGATTGCCATAATGCAACTTTGATGCAGTTTTTTCTTCTTATTCTTCTTTTACTTCTCGTTTTTATTTTTACGATTTTCCTATTGGAAAGCAGCATTATCAAAGTTTATTTTGCGTGAGTCCGCTCATTATGGCTTCTATTCAATTTCAAACTAGTTCCTTTGCATTCCATGCCTTTGTCCATCGTTATTTCTTTTGAGTGGGAAACGATGATTGAGAGAAGGACAGGGAGAGATTGAGCGAGTGAGAGAGAGAGAGAGCGATAACGATGAGCAATGCGCTCATAAAACATATCGAGCTGCATAAAATGAATAGCGGTACCTTAACTCCATAAAAAATTACTTTCAAGCGAAAAAAAAACGAACTCATGTCTATTGACTACATCGGGAGGCGAGTATGTGAAAAATTCTAATATATTTTGAAAGAGGAGAGTATGTTTTCTGATGATTCTGTTGGCGTTTAAGTAGAGTATGTTGTAGTACCGTCTAGCCTCTGCGGTCTTCACGGTTTTCGCGCAACTGATAGGAGATAACAACATGGTGTCTTCGGCAAAGTTGTAGTACTCGAGGTCTTCTATAACATTGCCGAAGACACCAAGTTGTTATCTTTTATCAGTTCCGCGGAAACCGTGGAAAACCGCGAGGACCCGCCAAAAATGAACATACTCGCCTTTAACCATTTTCGAGTCGAAAGAAACTTACTCTTCTCTTTCATAACAAAGTCAGATGAACTTACTCTCCTCTCGATCTAGTCAATAGATGTAATCGATATATTTGTGAGTTTGCGACAAGCACCACACTTTTTCCTGTAGCCGATGCGAAAAGCAACATTAATTTCACAAATTATTCGCGTCAAAATATAAAGAAAAGTTTCTGCTGTGACGAAAAAAATCCATCGACACCATTTAGTAGCACTGACAAAATCTTCTATTAACAATTAACAAGAATCTCTGCCAAAATTATTGGGAAAAAAGAGAGATAAAACGGGAGAGACAATGAGACGATATGAGAAAATGTATGTGTGTGTGAAAGAGAGAGAGAGGTCGTAAGATAAAGAAAATCCTCCTTTTATACACAACATTTGAGTCATAAACTGTGACGGGAAGAAAAACGAAGTACTTAAAGGGAGCAAACCACTAACGGTGCCGAGTGGTACTCTAAATTCATCGGATGCACTCATTTTATGTGTACATGCTATTTTGTTGTGATCTCGTCTGTTTCGCATTCTCTCACACTCACTTCGAATGGCCCCAGTGTGTGTATGTGCAAGATATGTGTATGGTCCCTATTGTTGCGTTGACATTTTCTTTTCCATAGCTGTTGTCACATCGAAGCACTTCAAGACTCTGCTCAATGGGGCCGAATGTTCCGTTGTCCTTCCGTCGAAAAATGAAAAAAACCAAGTCAAATTGAAGTGATATTGGCTAAGGTTGGAGTCGCTTGAAAGCTGCCGTATTCGTTTTGGAATTGAGTGTTCAGCACGCCATTGTTCAATATCCAATGTCACATTGTTTCGAAATTGTTCAAAATAGATGCATTTTGTCCCGTAAAGCGAACTGAGGTTACAAACGGTGAGAGAAAAAATCATCATCATCATCATCATCAGCAGCAGCAGCAGCAACAA